GATGATTTTCTGGGCTAACGTAGCAGGTACAGGGCCATATGCCAATTAGCTCTTGTGAATAGGCCTATTTTTATAGGCCTAACTTTTCTTGAGTTCTGCCGGTAAGAATAGGATGTCCTTTAAGGTTAGGCCAAAAAAAAAATATATATTTGTTTACCGTCACATCTCAACAAAATTTTAGGTGGGGAGAGGCGTTTTTTCCTTATTCAATCTATGGTGTCAATAACGTATGAATCCCTGTTTTTGGATTAGATGCTACTTTAGTAGTGCCATGCCTGGGCACAACTTGAATTGCATAGGCTAGAAACTCGCACATGCCCAATGAGCATGACCCTACTATATATAAATTTGTACTTTTCAATATCATAAACAAAGTAAATCAGAACAAAGAAATTGTTTCAAAAAATAACTATTGTCAATTTAATTTTTCAAAACAAAATTTTTCAAAACAAAAATGTGTTAGAATTAATAATAATTTTCAATATGCCTACAATAAATATTGCACCTTTTTGCTGAAAATATTGTTTTAATTCACTTACAATATATTGATTTTGATTAGCATTTCTTTAAAAAACTGGTAGTCATTTTTTTAAATAAAGAAAATATTCCTGCCTCTAATTTTCAGGTGCGGGTGGTGACGCTAAACAAGTAATTTTTTTAAAATTTTGCTATATGGGAAGGTCTCTCATGAACATTCCCCTCACTTCCTCACGTAAATACATGTGTCTTAAATATGTCGGCGATGATAATTTTATCAACACAAACGCTAAATACAGGTCTAGGCCTAAATTGAGGTTTCTTTATTTTTAAATGATCGTAGTGTTTATGTACCGGCACTTTTGCTTCCATAATTACGGTATGGATTATTCAAGTTCAAGAAAGTTAAACTGAAAGAGTGTTCTGTGTTAGCAAAATAGTTCTGATATAGATTACTGTACTTTAACTTAGTAAAAGTTCGATGTGGCTATATCGTGTCCTTGGGCAAGGCACTTTATCTACGGTTGCCTCTCTCCACCCAGGAGTACAAGTGGGTACCTGGTAGGTTCCAACACTGCGCTGATTACTAGCTGCAATATTATGGAGGTATAATTTAATTTAATAATTTCGTTTAGTGTTCACTGTGATCCATATGTGTTTGATCTAATGACCGGGGGTAATAAAGTAAAGCGCTTAGAGGCTTTGTTAAGGCATTAAGCGCTATATAAGAACGACATATTATTATTATTTATCGTACTGCGTATTTTCATGACAATTAACTATCTGTTATCTGTTAATAAAGTAGTCCCATTGCTACTAAGTCTCGGCGTTGTGGGGTAGGGCGCCATTTCCTTTTCACACCGCCTTTTTCCTCCCCAGTAGTGGACCGAATACCAAACCCATTTATCTTAGGTGGAGAGAGACAGACGTAGGTAATGTGTTGTCCAAGAATACAAGCGAAATGCACATCGAAGGTTCGAACCCCCGACCTCGAGGCTGAGAGACCGATACGCAATTAGTAGATTAGAAATCAGTATTCCTGCCCGAAAATTTAGATTCTACCTAGAGGTCTTAGTTTTGAGACCAGAAGTGAGTTGCAAAGTTTGGGACGACCTCATGTATATAAAACCGAAAGACGAAGACTAGATGTATAAGGTTTAATTACGTAATTCTCTGAACTAGTATTGAAACCGTGCAGATGTCTTTATGAGATTCAAATATGAGAAAAGGATAAGATTATTATCAATACGATACGTGAACAAAGCAGTTTGAAAGTTTATTGATATCATAAATGTTTAAAACAGAGAACTTGTGAAATAATAATAGAACAGTGCATTGATTGAGTCATCAGTCAACGAATGAATACAAGGTCATAAACCGGTAATTTGTACATATTACTCAACCTTTTTTTTTTACCTTGGCTTCCATGCAATCGCTACACTGTCGCTTCGGAATTTTCCTTGCAATCGTTGTACCACGTAACCAGGGGTGGCGCCAGCGGGGGCCGGGGCCCCCAGTTGTGGAAGAAAAAGCACAATTCGTCGGGGAGAAAAAAATTATATTTATTTGAAACCCCTAAATTGTCAAAATTTATGGGGTTTCTCCACCTGGACCACTTTCGAAACATTTTAATCGAAGCTCAACCACGCCCACTTTGCTTTCGTCGGGGAAATCTGACCCCTCGTCGGGGCATCGCCCCCCGCCCCGTCGGGAAAAACCTGGCGCCACCCCTTACGTAACACTCTCCGACACAACGAAGGCTCCCTGATTCTAAAGTGAATTGAAGATCATTATTATACAGTACTCTATGTTAATTCCCCGTGCTCTTCAATGGGGTTTTCAGGTCGCGACCGACCAAATCCTGGGTTCGCGAAAGAATTATTTGGTTTTGCTAACGTCTAAATAATATCTAATAATAGCTTTTCATGCACTGATTAATGTTTTTCCCGGATAAAGTAAATGAGGTGCATAATGATTTATCAAGGGTGAAATTCAAGTTCCCAGTTTGATTAAATGGGGTCCATACAATTACAGATGTATTGTGTTCAGGTAGTTGCGAGCCAAAAACATGACCCCTAACCATTAACCCGATTGTGATTGATTGATTGATTTAGTAATGTACAGCCTAGCCTAGCCTGGCTGGTATCTGCGTCGGAAACCGAACCCGTGTTCCCGTGGCACCTTTAGTTTTATCGTGGCAATCATCTGTTAATTCTCAAGGACATTGCC